ACCAGAACCAGTCTAGGCCCAGACCAGAACCCACCTAGAACCAGAATCAGCCTAGAACTTGAACCAGAACCAGTCTAGGCCCAGACCAGAACCCACCTAGAACCAGAATCAGCCTAGAACTTGAACCAGAACCAGCCTGGTACGATCAGAACCAGAACAAAGTGGACCTTTATCTGCTCATGAGTGTTTTGTATAAATCCAGAAATCTCGAGAGCAGAACCGGGACCTGCAGACCCAGTTGGATCAGGTTCTTCAGCAGGCCCAGGATCCAAGCAGCAAAGGGAACTCCCTGTTTGCCGAGGTAAGGAGACGGACCGTCTGAAGCCTTGTTTCAGAACCGAGCCCCCTCAGTAGAACCGGTTCTGGTGTTTTCCAGCTGGAGGATAAGAGGGCAGCGATGGAGCGGCAGCTCATCAGCATGAAGGTCCAGTACCAGTCCCTGCAGAAGATGCACGCCTTCAGCAAGCAGCAGATGCAGCGCCTGAAGGTAACGTGGACACCGTGCTGTGGATCTGCTCCCTGTGGGGCGCCGGGATGAACCGCTTCTTCTCTGCAGGCCCAGATCGCCACTCTGATGCAGCTGCAGGGTTCTAGAGCCGACCCGGCTCAGCTGGAGAGGCTGATGTCCATGCTGGCTGAGAAGAACGCAGAGATCCAGAACCTGGAGACCAAACTCCAGAGGCTGGAGAAGATGGAGGTGGGCACGCTCCTCCTGAGGAGTTCTGCTCCTCTGGTCCTGGCATGGTCCTTTGGTTGGATTCTGGTCATTCTGGATCTATGTGCTGAATATAGATGTGGTGTTTTTAGAGTCTGCTGAAGGCCGAGCCGGCCGATCCGGTCCAAGCAGAGGGAGGCGCCGGCCAGGATGAGACGTTCTACACAGACCTTCTCAGACTGAAGCTCAGCAACTCTGTGTGAGTTCATCCGCTCATCATGTTCATCATCTTCAGCCTGGAAAGGTTTGATTTTTGGATTGAAGGATTTTCCAGGTCAGTAAAGGAGGGAAGAGAAAGACGAGCAGAGAGAGAGCCGGTCCTTTTTACCATCGCTGGTTGTTCTGAGGACGGATCTGATCCATCCAAGGACAAAAACAGCACATTGATGGAAATACAGCATTCATCCATTCATCATCCATCATTCATCCAGCCATCATTCATTCATTCATCCATCATTCATCCATCCATTTATCCATCATTCATTCATCCATTCATCATCCTTCCATCATTCATCCATCCATCATTCATCCAGCCATCATTCATTCATCCATCCATTCATCATTCATCCATCATTCATCCATCCATTCATCCATCATTCATCCATCCATTCATCCATCATTCATCCATCCATTCATCCATCATTCATTCATCCATTCATCATCCAACCACTATTCATCATTCATCTAGTTATTCATTCATCCATCCATCATTCATCCAGCCATCATTCATCCATTCATCATCCACCTACTATTCATCATTCATCTAGTTATTCATCCATCATTCATCCATTCATCATCCATCCACTGTTCATCATGCATTCATCTATCCATCATTCATTCATCCACTATTCATCATTCATTCATCCACTATTCATCATTCATCCATCATCCATCCATCCATTATTCATCCATTCATCATCCATCAATCATTCATTCATCCATTCATCATCCACCCACTATTCATCATTCATCTAGTTATTCATCCATCCATCAATCCATCATTCATTCATCCACTGTTCATCCATCATTCATCCATCCATCAGACATTCAACTGGTTCTGGGCTGGCATTATCTGCCATCCATCATTCATTCATCCATCCACTATTCATCCATCATTCATTCATCCATCAGACATTCAACTGGTTCTGGGCTGGCATTATCTGCCATCCATCATTCATTCATCCATCCACTATTCATCCATCATTCATTCATCCATCAGACATTCAACTGGTTCTGGGCTGGCATTATCTGCCATCCATCATTCATTCATCCATCCACTATTCATCCATCATTCATTCATCCATCCATCATTCATCC